ACGGTGCTGCTCCCTGTTTTTTCGCCAACGACGCTGTTCTCCAAGTTTTTTTTTTGCTTTTTTTTTAAATTTTTGTTTGTTTTTAAATAAAATTTTGTTTCTTCCAAAATTTTTTGTTTGTTCTTAAATAAAATCTCTGTTTTTTTAAAAAAAATTTTCTTGTTTTTGGTGTGAAATGCCACATCGGCAGCAAATACTTTCGGTTGGCCTGATATTACAAAATTTAATAAGCCGATTGTAGCAACTAGGTTGACCTTGGAAGCCTAAATGGCAAAGATGAGATAGATTACAGCAAGAAAGAACAGTATGAGAAAAGAAGGTAAGAGTGAGATAAGACGTTTCGGTCCACTAAGTCATATACGTCTTAGCTCAACACCGCGCGCGAAGCAGGATTTCATCAGTATGACAGCTGCGGTGCTTAATGGAAAAGAAGGAAAGAGGACCGAATTTGAGATTTTACTTGAAATGAATGTAAGAGTGAGATATGAAATGAATGTAAGAGTGAAATAAGACGCTTCGGTCCATAAAGTCATATACGCCTTAGCTCAACACCGCGCGCGACGCTTGGATCTCGTCAGTATGACGGTTGCGGTGCCTAATGGAAAAGAAGGAAAGAGCACCGAATTTGAAATTTTCTTTTTAAAATTATTGCAAAAAAAAAATGAAAAAAATCACACAAACCGGATCACTCACATCATCAAGCTCTACGCTTGAATGGCTTGATGCCGAATCATCAGACGATACCATCACTAAGGCACCTGCAAAATAAGAAACCACACTGAATTTTATTTTTATGCGTTTTTTGCTATGTAACAGCAGTACAAAATGCGTATTGTCGCGGGGCTGTCTGTGTGTGTATATGTGTGTGTGTGTGTGTGTGTGTGTGTGTGTGCCCGCAGCAACTTGTCCACAACTTTCAATTTGGGAACCACAAAAGCCAGGAAGCTAAAAATTTAGAGGAACGTTCCTCACCCACGTGCGGCCCGGCAAATTTAAATTCAGCTTCCCCGTATCAGCGGGTAACAAGCACGGTCCCGTAAAAGTTTAGGCCGCTAAAATTATTACCACGGGAACCATGGAAGCTAGAAGGCTAAAATCTTTGGGCATGTTCCCCACTCATGTGCTACCCACAAAATTTAAATTCAGCTTCCCCCTGTCCGCGGGTAACATGTACGGCCCCGTAAAAATTCTTGACGGGTAAATTATTATCTCAGAAATCACAAAGTCTACGGAGCTTAAATTTTGGTGTAATGACCCCTTGTCCACGCTCAACCTTGCCCATTCAAATTCAGCGTTCCCGCGCTCTCGGGTATCACCTACGAGCTAGTGAAAGTTTTTACGGGTAAACTATTATCTCGGGGATCACGAAAGGATATTCACCCTTCAGGGTTTCAAATTCAGCTTTCATGCGCTCGTGCGTGAAATTTTCAACTATTTTCC